TAATATTATATGTATAATATTATATATATGTAATATATTATATATATAACTAGTAAATTCAGTCGCTTGCATTACAAATTATATCAGTGAATTTAAATTAAAAGCCATTCCATGGAATTAATGAAGTTAAATATAAAAGTGATAATTGTTGAGTTTAGCCTTTACATCTCCGATGTTGATTAAGTTCGACGCGTTTTTGATTAAATGAATTTGATAAATAAAATATCGCTCTCCGTAATGGACCGAAATATTAATCATTACAGTGAAATGAAGACTATTCAGGTTAAAAACTATTCAGGTTAAAAAAATCTCTTACATCAATAACATGAAGACACGTAAGTGAAGCTATAATAAGTATTATTTATTTCAATATTACACAAATTCTTTGTTTTAAAAATAAATTCTGTGCTTTAAAAACATAATTTTTCTGCTATAAAAATACAAATTCTCTGTTTTAAAAATCTGGTAGCAAAGCAGAAACAAATTTTGAGCAGAGCTTGCTACCAATTTTTAATTGCAGAAAGGCAATTAACTGTACCCAGAGTTTGTATTATCTGACATTGTCAGCAAATTATCATATGATAACCCTAGTAAAAATTTTTTACATAATTTTACATAATTTTTATTAATTGGAACATTTTTTTAGAAATATTCAGAAATATTCGAAAATTTACATCTTCTCTCAAAATTTTTTATACAAATGAATTTTTTAATTTTAGATTTTATAATATTTTCATCATTAGAAGTTATACTTACAAAAAATATTAGAAATATTATATTTTATAATTAATATATATGAAAAAAATTCTGAGAAAAATTTTCACCAGGAAAAATCTGCTAGATATGCTTTGCCAGCAAATTGATAAGCAGCAAATGACAGCAAATGAACAAAATGCATAATCTGATGACAGATTGAGAGCAGATTGAGAACAAAATCTGAAACAAACTGCTCGATTTCTACCAATTTGCTGGCATAGCTTGTCAACAGACTTTATCGATATCCATAATCAAAAGCGGAGACAGATGATTA